CCCCCCCCGCTCCATCTCCCCAGGACAAGCCCCCACTGTCCGTGTGTATTGGTTATGCTAATATGCATGCATACAAGTCCTTTGGTTGATCTCTTACCCGCCCCTGCCTTCTCTCTGAGGTTGGACTGTCTGTTCAGTGTTTCTTAGTCTCTGGATCTATTTTTGGTCATCAGTTTATATTGTTCATTATATCCCACATATGAGTGAGATCATGTGATATTTATCTTTCTCCAACTGGCTTATTTCTCATGGCATAATGCTCTCCAGGTCTATCCATGCTGTTGCAAGTGGTAAAATTTCCTTTTTTATAGCAGTGTAGTATTCCATTATGTAGATGTACCACAGTTTTTTAATCCACTCATCTGCTGCTGGGCACTTAGGCTGTTTCCAAATCTTAGCTATTATAAGTTGTGCTGCTATGAACATAGGGGTGCATATATCCTTTCTGATTGGTGTTTCTGGCTTGTTGGGATATATTCCCAGAAGTGGGATTACTGGATCGAATGCCAGTTCCATTTTTAATTTTTTGAGGAAACTCCATACTGTTCTCCACAGTGGGTACACCAGTCTGCATTCTCACCAGCAATGTACGAGGGTTCCCTTTTCTCCACATCCTCTCCAGCACTTGTCCTTAGTTGATGATAGCCATTCTGATAGGTGTGAGATGGTACCTCATTGTTGTTTTGATTTGCATCTCTCAGATGATTAGTGGCTTTGAGCATGTTTTCTTGTTTCTTGGCCTTCTGTATTTCCTCGTTTGAGTGAAAAGTGTCTGTTTAGGTCCTTTGCCCATTTTTTGATTGGATTGTTTATTTTTTGTTAATTTCCCTGTAAACTTTGGAGATTAAATCCTTATTTGAGATAGCATTGGCAAGTATCTTGTTCCATACAGTGGGCTTTCTTATTGTTTTGTTGATGATTTCTAACTATTTCACTTTAGAGGACCAGATGAAATAATTTAAAGTCCTGTGGCCCATAGTAAGTATTCAGTAGAGTAAAATTTTTATTATTGTTATTTTTGTCATATTTTTACTATTATGCCCTTCTAGTTTTCTTACTTACGTATCCTTACTGCCAGCCATTTTCTAGGCTTAGGCAGACAGAGGTATTAGGAAGGGTTTTCTGACTTTACTCTAAGGGTTCTTAGAATTATTGAATCCTTACTGGGATACAAGGACAGATGAGAACCACTGTTTTTGTTGTTTCTTCGTAACTTTTCTGTAGGCTCATGTAAATAAAGTAGGATGGGGCCCATTAGTTAAGAATAGGACTTAGGAAGGAACCCCAAAGTATTCATGGCTTATAGCTATAGAAGAAGCATTCTTTGTTCCAAATGACTATGGAAGCCTTGAGAGAGAAAGATTGCAGTATATCTGATTTTATCACATTGTTCATTAGAGGATTTTAAATTGTCTCTAGGAAATAATGATTCTTTATCTTTTTATGTTCTTAAGTAAAAGTAACTTTAGCTAGCCCTAGCTGGTTTGGCTTAGTGGATAGAGGGTTGGCCTGCAGACTGAAAGTATCCTGATTCAATTCCTGTCAAGGGCACATGCGCGGGTTGTGGGCTCAATCCCCAGTGGGGGGCATAAGGAGGCAGCTGATCAATGATTCTCTCTCATTATTGATGTTTCTCTCCCTCTCCCTCTCTGAAATCAATAAAAATATATTTTAAAAAAGTAACATTAGCTAAACATATATGTCTTTTACCACTTAATTTGAATTTAATTTCATTGGCTGCTATATTTGTATATCAGATAACACGATTGACAAGTGATGGATAGTGAAGTGGTGAAGAACTATATTTGGACTAGTGGCCCGGTGCATGAAATTCGTGTGCGGGGGGAGGGTGTCCCTCAGCCCGGCCTGCACCTTCTCCAATTTGGGACCCCTCAGGGACCCCTTCCAGTTGGACATCCCTTTCGCAGTCTGGGACTGCTGGCTCCTAACCGCTCACCTGCCTGCCTGCCTGATCGCCCCTAACCACTCTGCC